TTGCACAGTAAAACCTATTGGTATGTGGAGACAATTAAGCCTAAATGCAGGCTTATGACAGCTTAATTAATGTTAGACTTTAAGCATTTCTTAATTTGATAATACTTATTTCATAACCGCTCAAACTTTTCTCTCTAATATTATGAAAAGCCTGATTGTACTAATATTTTTGACCATATTTTCCCCAGGTTTAAGTTTGTACTGTGGGGAGGGAACAAGGGAAACAGTACTCATTTCACATTAACAGGGGACATAAAACCTCACTAGGCCCACTCCGCTTTCAGAGAAAAGTTAGGACGTTACCTACTCCATTTCAAAGCTGTAATTGTGCATATTTGTGTACCTGCGTGTGCAGAACCATAGAAGCATAATAAAATTATTAAATAGCTCACAATGAAATACATGCATCTCAGTGGTAGCCATAGGAAACTTTGCTTAGGATTAAAATGCTCTATGAAAAGAAAAGCCTAAAATATAGGAGAGTTTTGCAACAACTTGGAGGGCTGTCTGGCTGAATATCATTAGTGCTAAATAATAAACTGGGCTCACTGCCAGCAGGTTTGTGTAATGAGCAGGTGAAAATGTGACAGAGGCATGCTGTGATAATCTCCCAAATAGCTTAAAGATGCACCTTAATGATAACTGGACACACTGGTCTAAAACTATTTGAACAAGTAGATTTCTGCACCTAAATGGCTACCTAAGGGGAGGAAAAAACTAACAGGGTGCTAAAAAGTGTGCCTGTCAAGGGTACGTGCTATAGGTATCATAGGAGAGAACCAGACTGTCAGCCTTTTGTGAGGTTAGCAAACACCTCTTGCTCTCTCCTATGCTCCCATTCAGCTCAACTGCAGTTATGTCTAGAGCAAGCCAAACTAGTTCTGCCCATCTTGCAGCTATTAAAAAAAAAAAGAAAAGAAAAAAAGAAAAAAAATGTAAGACGTGTTTAATTGAAAACAGAAAGATGCAAATCTCTTTGATGTAGCTTCAACCTCATTCCTATGTCCTCAGATGACCTGCAGTGGAAAATTATCCAGCAACTCACATGTCAAGATACATGTAATGATTGCCTTTAGATGAGCCAGTGGCAACAAGAGGAATATCGAGTAGCAGCATTCCTTAAGAGCTTTAACCTTTTAAAGCTCAGAAGTCTCTAGCTGGTGGTTCTGCCACTGTGATTCAACGGTGGTTATAGCCAGCAACAGAAACTCCAAATTTGGTCCCTTGTGCTGCATGTTCAGGCACGCTCCTTTGGTATATTTAAATTTAATGGTCTAGTTTAGCAGTGATGAGGCAGCATCTCCTCTTTAAATCTCCCTTACTTTGCCATGAAACTGAGACCCTGAAACTTGCCATGTGTTGCTCTAATTCTGGACGCTGACTATGTGACATTGTGATGCAACCTGGCTTTCTTGCTTCAGAGCTCCTTTTGGGTAAGCTTTATCTAATACTGGGCTGCACTGCCTTGAGCTATGTGGTTTGGATTTGAGAGAATGTCAACAAAGATTAAAACACGGAGAGAATGAACAACAAACCAAACTGGATGGCAGTAAAGAGGGCAGACTGCAGTCTGTTTCCTCTGACATGCATCTGATTTTTCTTAGGAAGGCAAAGTAGCAAGTTATTTTCCATTTGGAAATGTTAGTATGACCATTTGCTACTGTTTTTCCCTCCAGGGAACTGTTTATGACAAAGATCAAGCATGTGTGCATACCATCTCTAGCTAAAAGAAGAATAAAATAAAAATCTTACCAGTTACAACCACAGTGTTGGAATTTGAATCCATGAAACCTACGCTCCAAAAGGTGAAATCTTGTCTTTCAGTTCCAAAGAGTATTGTAATTCATGTATCTGTGGCAAACTTCTTCATTTGGGGCACCTTTTTTTCTTCAAACTGTGATGTGTCTGGATTCACATGACACTGATTATTTGTGATTCACGTAACTTTCAAAGCAAAAATTGTCTCTGTATTAAAGATAGAAGTCTGACTGACCAGCTGACTGGCTGGAACTACCCCAAGCTTCTTTTCCTTTCTTCAGTCATGCAATAATACCTAGGAAGAACAGGAAAGTCTTAAAGAAACTACTTTTGCAAAATATCCAGCAATGTTTTTAATCAGAAACTTGTTTATCTACAAGTAAACAGAAAATAAATTGAATCGGTTTTATTATATCTCTGGATATTCTATTTTTAGCACAGTTGTAATTCACTTTAATTGTGAGGAATGACAACTACAGAAACATATCTGTCCATTTCCACTGTTCTTAGACTTTTTCTTACTGACTTAAAAAACTCAGGGGTAACTTTGCTGTTCCTCTTCATAGCAGTTATCTAATTTATTAATCTTGATCTTTATCTTACACTCTTTATGAAAGAGTCCAAGTACCTTCCAAAACCAAACATCAACAGGAAAATGTGTGTATTAGCTAAACCAAAACATTTACTCAGTAATATCCTTGAATAGGCAACATGTTAAAAAACCTCATTCCAACTTGCAAGGTCAAAGGAGTTCTAGAAGCTGGTTATGGCTCACCAAAACTGGTGAGTTTAGTAGCCTGTCTGTCCTCATTAAATTGAAGCATGAGAACCAATAGGAGGGGCCTGAAATCAAAACATATGCACATTGTCACTGCCCAAAACAAAAGCATATGAAAGTTCTCCTGGGAATTATAACTATGTGGGCAGAGGGTTTCACTGGGTCTTGTTTTGAGTAGGAAGTGTATGTGTGCGCATGTGAGAGAGAGGGAGAAATATGCTAAGAATAGAAAACCACTATATAATCTCAAGAGAGCTGGTAATTGTGAAACCTTAAGAAAAAAAAAATAAATCTGAAGAAATCTTTTGGATTGGGTGGTAGCTGAATGAGGTTTGGAGCTATGAGCTGTGCCAGTCATTTAAATCCTCCTATGCTAAGACACAAAGAAATTTGTGGATTTTTTAAAATAAAAAGATCTTGATTCCACCATCCATTTCTTCCCCTGGCTAATACAACTTGCAAAACTAACTTTGGCTAGCTGCTGAAGCTGAAGGAGCAGCTCATACAGTAAACACAGAACTCTGCAACTTTAAATAAGGCAAAATTTGCCGCTGACATCAGTGAATTAAATCTAAAATACCACAATCTTTCTTTCTCCTATGTCAGTTAAGATTTTTATAAATTAATTTTTATGTGTGACCAGTTAGTAAAACTCTTCCTATGATACTGAACAGGACTTTTTTTTTTTTTTTTTTTTTTTTTTTTTTTTTTTTTTTTGTAAAAAAAAAAACCCCAAACCTCACAACACTCTAAGTGTAGAGTGGTCTAATGAACAAAGAGTATGCATAGAATAAAGTAAGATGCAAGGTCTGTAGCTGCTTAATTAGTTTCCTGCATGAGAAATTATGCAAGTGTTTTGTTTGGGACACTATAGCTTCTTTATAGATATATATGAAGGGTAATGTTTGAATGCTGTAAAATACTAAGTATTTTATTAGATATTCTTGCACAGTGTAGATATAAGTCTATGAGATCCATGCACTCTAAAACAACTGATAGTATCTCTTTGGACTGTAGTAATAGTTTTCAAAGTGTTCACAACCAGGAAAAGAGAGTAGAAAAAATATAGAGCATGGAAGATTGTTTCACTAATCCTTTGTGAAAAAGCTGATAGAAATTTGGGGGGAAACCCCTCCCAAGACACTTTTTAATGACTCATCAGTTACGTATGGTCTTCAATAGTTAAGTCAGTCCCTTTCCATGAGTAGAAAGATTCTTAGACCTTTCCAGTGTTGTTATATGCCTGTGCAAATGTGGGAAGAACACTAGTGGTTTGAATAAACCAAGAATCTGACATGCACTGAAATTAATTTTTGCACTGATTTAATTGATTGCTTCTGTTCCTAGGCTTTATGTGTGTGGTAGTATACTTGGAGGAAGAATGCATGTATTGGAGCTGTACATGTAGCAAACAGAAAATAAAGGATATGGTAGCTTCAAAAAAGAATAATAAAATCTTATGGTTAGGCTTACGTTCTACTTAGAATTTTATTCAGAAATGAAACCATTTCTTTCCCTAATATTTCTTCAACTGAAGTTGAAACTACTCAGAATTTTTGTGGAAGTATGATTGTAGCTTTAATATTAGCACTCACACATGTATATGTGTGAATAACAATAGATACCCAAGTCACTGAATTTTCGAGGTCTGTGCAAATTAATCTCCCCATCCATAATTAAGAAACCAAGCCCTGGATATCTGAAAGCAAGTCACAGACACAGCTGACTCAGCTAAACACTAGTTGTTTTTCTTCTTGCTATACACAAATGTGATTGGCATGGTGCTCATCTTGAGGTAAAGAAGAAATGGAAGCAACTCAACTATGAAGGCCCTAGTTATCACCTTGAATATTTTTTTCTATACAGTTGTCTGATAAATTTTTAAATTATTTGAGCTGCTGAGTATGAGAAAAATATGTTTTCTACAAATGCATTCTGACCACATTACAGAACTGCCAGAACACTACTCAAATAGCTTTTTAGTACTGACGGTAACAAGAACTGAATATGGCCCTTCATTTAGAAACAGCTCTTTAATTTTTATCTCTTTTATTATTACTTACATATAGTTTTTTTTTATTTCTTGTTATTGGCAGGCACTGACCAATGTTTTAAACTGTTAAGTGGAATTGTTTAATATATTCCAATTTTTATCTCAGCTGTTCAACATTTAATGAGAGCAGGGAGAAATCAAGCTGTTATGCTATTTAACATTAAACTATAATGGGACTTTAAATAGAAATTTCAGGACCTAACACTCTATATTTCTTTTCCATTCTAATAAAAATAAATGATCCTCAGGAAAGACTGAAGCTAGTCTTTAGGTAGATGGAATGCAATGTCACAAAGAGAGAGATAAATGTTTCAGTGTAAAGCTCGCTGTTTCCTGTGGACCAATGCCTCTTCTGTAACAAACTCCATAGAAATGGGATATGGAAAATGTAATGGCAATTTTTTTTTTTTTTTTTTTTTTTTTTTTAATAGAAAGTGTTATATATTTTATATTGCTGCCCTATTTATATTAGTTCTTCTGTGGTTGGTACCACTAGTGTATATTCAATGTTTAGCAATAATAGAAAAAAAATCGAAATTTGTATAGTTTAAATGTAGCCAAGCTGTTGGGTGGCTGTTATTTCAGTTCTGGTCTTCTTGCAGTATTAGCAAAAATTAACTGCTGTGTAGGGGCAGATTTTAAAATTTTATTTAACTTTAATGCAGGGAGAAATCACTTTAGCAGAAGAGCATGTAACTCAGGATCAGTGGGTTGCTTTTGTTCAGGTGTCATTTACCATGTGCAAAGAGATTCTGCAAGCAAGATACACAGAGTTTAAGTAATTATTTATCAGCTAATATGCCAAATAGATAGCTAGGACTAACAGATTACTAGGCTAAACAGTAATATGCTTACCACTCCTGATAAAACAACTGATGAGTCTTAGCTGGCCTGGAAACTTCCAATATGCTGGGGAAAGTTGGTCCCTGCCATTTGTCGGTATGGGCTGATCTCAGCATTACTGAGCTATCTTTGCATTTTCTGCTCTTCTTCCTTCCTTATCTTTTCTCTAATCTTTCACCAGATAACTACTGTCAGCCCAGCAACAGCATTTCTGTGACTTTAATGTCTTGTCTTTCATGGCTTTAGTTCATGTAGTTTCTCATAGTTTAACAGCTTTCTCAGTAAAACTCAGGCAAGGTCACACAGCAATCCTGTGTCACACTAGGCCTTGGCTCAAATCTGTGCTGAGTGTGAGATGTGGAGTGGTGGAAGGTACAAAGCTTCAAGAGATGAGAATGTGCTGAAATCCATGGATGCACTGTAAAGCGTGGTTGTGAGACATCTGCTTTTTGGGAGC